AGTTCCACACCAGAGGCTACTGAGGAAACTTAAGGCACAGGAGGAGAAATTTTTTCCTGGGAAGAGGCATGGCTGACAAATAGGCAGCATAGAGTTTGCATAAATGGGGAGAAATCACTAGCGGTGTTCCTCAAAGGTCAGTGTTGGGCCTGTTGTTGTTTACAATTTACATAAACGATATAGATGAGGGGATAAATAGCGACATAAGCAAATTTGCTGATGACACCAAAATAGGCCGTCCAATTCATTCTAATGAGGACACTAGAGTACTCCAGAATGATTTGAATAGACTGATGCAACGATCGGAGAAGTGGCAGATGCAGTTTAGTATAGACAAATGCAAAGTTCTAAATGTTGGACAGGTAAATAACCATGCCACATATAAACTAAATAATGTAGATTTTAATACTACTGATTGCGAAAAGGATATAGGAGTTCTGGTTAGCAGTAATCTAAAACCAAGACAACAGTGCATTAATGTTAGCAATAAAGCTAACAGAATTCTTGGCTTCATATCTAGAAGTATAAATAATAGAAGTCCTCAGGTTGGTTAGGCCTCATTTAGACTATGCTGCTCAGTTCTGGTCACCGTATTACGGAATGGGTATAAATGCTTTGGAAAACGTACAGTGGAGGATGACAAAGATGATCCCATGTATCAGAAGTCTTCCCTATGAGGATAGACTGAGGGTCCTGAATCTGCACTCTCTCGAAAGGCGTAGAATTAGGGGGGATATGATCGAGGTGTATAAATGTAAAACAGGAATAAATAAAGGGGATGTAAATAGCGTGCTGAAAATTTCCAGCCAAGACAGGACTCGCATGGTTTCAAGTTGGAAAAATTCGGATTCAGGAAGGATATAGGAAAGCACTGGTTTGGTAATAGGGTTGTGGATGAGTGGAACAAACTCCCGAGTACAGTTATTCAGGCTAAAACGTTGTGTAGTTTTAAAAATAGGTTAAATACATGAGTGGGTGTGGGTGGGTGTGAGCTGGACCTGACTAGCTTGTGCTGCTGGGTCTGGTGCCGTGCTCCTTCCTTGAGTGGAGATAACCAGACTGGGTGGGTCATTGGGCTAATCCGAGGGGGGGTCATTGGGCTAATCCAGGGGGGGCATGGACCTGCTCCGCATGGGTCAGTAGGCCTGTTGCAGTGTTCCTTCTTTCTTATGATCTTAATAACAACACTGCGACTAGCCAAGGACTCGAACTCATGCTGCTTTGGCCCGCCTCATGGTGAGCAAAAACACATGATGCTGTAACCCACAGGACCATGCAATCCTACAAGAAAGACATACCCAGCCAAGCTAGGTGTTTTACCGTCATCCAAGGACATAAGGTGGTGTGGGTGCCTCTGAGCTAATTTCATTCTACTCCCTGTGTGGTGTATTAGCCCAACGAGCAGTATTTTATATTATTGTAACCACGAACGAGTGATATTGATCAGTAACAACAATGCGACTAGTCAAGGACTCGAAACCATGCTGCTTTGGCCCGCCTCATGGCCAGTGAAAACACATAACTTCTAACCCACAGGACCACACAGTCCAACAAGAATGACGTACCCAGCCAAGCTAGCTGTTTTACATATAGTTTTAATAAAGATTAGAATTTTATTATTAAATTGTTTAATTAACGAAAGGATTTGTATCAAAAACTACCACGTTACCTTTATTTTGTTAGTTTTCCAGAGAAACATGAGTTCACAAAGAGCCTGCTTAAACAATCACAAAGCATTTTGCTGCATTTTTCTTGAACACACTTTGCAAAAGCAAATAAAAAAATCACAGATTTTGTAAACCAAGCTTATCTTGCTTATTTTGGAATGGCGCTTCGGGAACAAGTCTAGTCCTAGGCTCCCATAATGGCTGGAATAACCTGCGTAGAATGCTTACGACAGTGGAGAAATATGCAAAGGAACAGTTTTAACTTCGATGTACGTATGGTGTGGAGAGGGTCAAGAAAACCACCACGACAATTGTTGTTTCTGTATTATGAATGTGAAAGGTTTCAGTCGATACAAGAAAGTTATTTGAGAATATCCTAATTTAGAGACAGCAAGGGGACTTGTGCCACACAGCGAAGACGTTCCTATATCTGACCTTCCGTTGTCAAATGTTGAAGAAACTCGGGGTTCAGGATGTTTCACAGGTGAAAGCAGTGGAAATGAATATGAAGTAAGCAAATCAACACCCCAGCAGTTCTCCCAAGAAGTACTGAGTGGTCTGATCGCTGACCTCAGTCTGTCAAGCAGGCATCTGAATTTTTAGCATCCAGACTAAAAATAAAAGAACCGTCTACAACAGGAAGTTAAAATAACAGCTTATCAGACAAGAGAGGTTGAACTCTTCCCTTACATCAGCCAGGATGAAGAAGTAGTATGCTGCATTAACATCTTTGGACTTCTTCCTCTAATGGGACTTGAAAATCAACTAGGAGATTGGCGGCTGTTCATAGACAGCTCCTTTAAAAGCTGGAAATGTGTCTTATTGCACGATGGTAACCAATATGCATCTCTTTCAATTGCTCACTCAACAAAACTTAAAGAACATGTAAATATCAAAATGGTATTGCAGAAGCCATACTATCATGAGCACAAGATGTCTGTTTGTGCTTATCTGAAGATGGTAAACTCCTTGCTTAGGCAACAGAGTGAATATAAGAGGTACCTTTGTTATATCTGATTGTTGGACAGTATGGAGAAGGTAGATCATTGGACAACAGTGACATGGCCTTGAAGAGAAAAGATGACTGTAGGTATAGCAAATATCGTTAACTGGGACTGGGATAACATTATTCTGTCACCACTCCACATTAAGTTAGAGCTAATGAAGCAATTCGTTAAGGCCTTTGACAAAGATGACAGTTGCTTCGAATACATTTGTGGATCGTTCCCTGGACTAAGTATGAAAAAACTGAAAGCTGGAATCTTTCATGGCCCTCAAATTCCAAAGCATATAAAGGATTTTAATAATTTCACAAACTGAATGAATGGTGCTGATGATTCTGTATGGAGCAGTTAAGTGCTGGTTGTCAAGAAGTTCTTCGGTGTTCACAAAGCAGACACTTATGAAGAACTGGTGCAAAGTATTAACATTGGTAGAATTACCGACATGTTAAGTGAAAGGATACAAATGCAAAGGCTTGACAAAGCTCCTGGAGAGCGAAACGTCGACACAATAAAATGTCACATTAGTTACATTTGTGTCCCTTTACTTAACAAACTGTTGCAAAACATGCTGACAAGCTTTAAGAATTTAGGTACTAATATGAGTATAAAGGTACACTTTCCCCATAGCCACCTAGACAGATTTCCACGTAATCTTGGTAACATCAGTAAGAAACAGTGGAAGAGGTTCCATCAAGATAAAATGGTGGTGGAGGAAAAGTTTGATATCAAGGTAGATGGGACACACACGGGACTGTGCTGATGACCATCATAGAAGAAAATCGTATAAACGACGTTTTCACAAGCAGTAATTAGTGGTAACTGAATTATCTTACTTTGTTAATCTGTTATTATAGAGAAAGAAGTGCTATTAAATGATTTGACTTTTGCATGATCTTAAAAATAATTTCAATGCAGTTTGTAAGTTAGTCTCCCCTGATCAATATACTTTAATATCTTTTATGTTTTCCAGTGGATACTAAATTATCGAAAACTAGATCCTAACAAAACCATTGACATATCCGGAATCAGCACCGCAAAATTATCCTAAAATCGGAAAATCGGTGTAAGATCATTGGCAAGAAATGCGTGTTGACCATAATCATTCTGTGTATAATACATTCAATAATCACTGATACATACATAAAGCAACTACTGTGATCTGATTACGATGTGACTTTCTGGTACCTGTCTCACTGATGTAGTCGCTCGATGCGTGTCATTCCCTATCATTACTGGAAGTAATGATTTGAGAGGTTATACAAAAAATAAGATGCGTGAGAATGTTAAAAGATTGTAAGTTAAAGTATTAACAATTTCCTAGAAAATAATATATGATTTTCAACAAGAGAAAGCACCAATATTCACAAAATAAGTTTTAAAAATGCAAAATGCAGAAGTCAAAATTGTTCCTTAAAATTATTAAAATGTATTAGAATCCAAATTTCAACTCGATTAAGGATTAGGTTAGGTAAGGTTCGTCAGGAAACAGGACAAATGTTTCCTGACGCGGGTCTTAGTCAGATGATGACCCGCCTTTGGAGCTTTTGGTCATCTGACCGAGGCCTTCCGCTGGCTTACCGGTCCACCCCTTTAAAAATTATGGTCATTTATAACCATTGTTCGATTAAGGAGTCAGGAGCTGGGGTGAGACGAGACATAAGAAGAAAATGAGATTCTGACATACAGGCTTACTGTCATTCCTGAGGTAAAAAGCTTTTATCGGAGACTTCTTGGTAGAGCGAATAACTTAAGATATGAAAAAGAAAATACCATTAGGAGTCCAGATTTCTTTTTTTTTTTACACAAGCAAGTAGAAATAGACATTAATGTCATCACACTACCACTGATTATGAGACAGCATCCCTGGTAGTTTTGGCACCAGGCATAATAATAATAATATAATATTTTTATTTACTACAAGTACATGTACATGGTATACAGGCCTAACTGACATCAATGACATACTACTATATAGAAATCCCCTTGTTATGCAGAGCATTTCGGGTAAATTAGGTCAGTTTTGTCCCAGGATGCGACCCACACCAGTGGACTAACGCCCAGGTACTCATTTTACTGATGGGTGAATATAGATAACCGGTGTAAGGAAACACTTCCGATGTTTCCACCTCTTCATCGGGAATCGAACCCAGACCCTCACCGTATGAAGCATGAGCTTTTGCCACCAGGGCACGGAGCACCCCACCCCCTCTCTATTTAGCCCATACCAGGAAGCATTGTGTACAACAGTTTTGGTATTCACACTTCAAATACAAAATGTTGGTAGCATTTACCCAGACTCTGACTTGATTCTTTACCTTCCTACTAATAGCTGTGGACCAGGTAGGCAGCAAGGAAGTCGGGAGTGCCAAGATCTGGACGAGTGTCTGTGGAAACCATGCTTGCACGGTGGCACTTGCTTCAACAAGGAGGCAGGCTTTTTGTGTCTTTGCAGCCCTGCATACACAGGTGAATTCTGCCAGTGGAGGACAGTGGCCGGCAGTACCCACCCTCTGGCAGTCACCACCGCCATTGTCGGCCTCTCTCTCTCCCTCCTCATTCTCGGTTTGTATTAAAAACAACACACCAATTCATTTTATTCCTAAACTTCTTTCACAGAACTTTGATATAAACATAGTTGAGAAGAAGATTCTTTCTCCTTTTCATAAGCACATTTGAAAATAATATATTAGGATTTTTAGAAAAGGGCATTTCTCTTCAGCAGTAATATTCGGTGTGGTGTACTGCGTGCATCTCCGCCGGCGATGGAACAATCGAGCTCGAGAAGAAAGAGTGGATACTGAGGGAGGAACTATTTTAGAAGTGAAATATAGTGATTATGAGGACACAAACTTCCGTGGGTTGAAGCCTGATGAAACTCAAGAAACACTTGTAGAGTGCCTTAAACTGAGAGTTTCTTGTGGAGAGCATAATATAACAGGTTAAGATAAAGTATAATAGTTCATGTAATTTATGAAGCATTAAAGGATAATTCTTTAAAGAGAGATTGCTTTTATCATAAGTAAATTGCAAAATAAATAAGGGTTTACCACAAAATGCAAAAAGCTCATAAATGGAAAGAATATCCTAAGGTATACTGAGATTTTTCATAATGCACAATATTTTAGGTAAAAAAAAAACATTCTTTCTCTTCTGTTCCTATTTGTGTGCTATTTCCAGCAGGAGAGCGACCCGGCGAGACTATGTCATTCACCGACGTGGCCACACCCTGTACTGAGGGTAGTGGAGGACACCAACCAGAGGTTCTTCTGCCGAAAGATGACCTACGTGCCTATGCCTACGAGGGCGACGGATCATCTGCTGGTTCCTTTACCTCTACTGTATCAGGTCAGCCAGTAGCATTATTGGAAGAAGAGCAATCATTTTAAGGTATTGGTCATATCCGGTCAGATATCAGCATTAATTAACTATAAGTTGTTATATTTCTTCCAGTTTAATAGCCTGTTTAGATACATGACTTTGTAGATAAATAATATCATGCTATTTTAATTTATTATCGTCTGTTTATTTTTAATATCCATTTTATTAGCTATTTGCACGCAATTGCTTTCTGCAATTTTATTTTGCTTTCACTTTGTTTAATATCTCATTACCTACGTGTCCAGTTAGGCACAGATGTTCCTAACTGGATGTGCCTATGAGAGACCTCTTAGCCAGATGTACCTATGAGAGACCTCTTAGCCAGATGTGCCTATGAGAGACCTCTTAGCCAGATGTGCCTATGAGAGACCTCTTAGCCAGATGTGCCTATGAGAGACCTCATAGCCAGATGTGCCTATGAGAGACCTCTTAGCCAGATGTGCCTATGAGAGACCTCTTAGCCAGATGTGCCTATGAGAGACCTCTTAGCCAGATATGCCTATGAGAGACCTCTTAGCCAGATGTGCCTATGAGAGACCTCTTAGCCAGATGTGCCTATGAGAGACCTCTTAGCCAGATGTGCCTATGAGAGACCTCTTAGCCAGATGTGCATATGAGAGACCTCTTAGCCAGATGTGCCTATGAGAGACCTCTTAGCCAGAACCCTAAACTAAACTATAGACATTTTAATAAACCATGATCTTCCCGTCTCCTACATGATATAGTTAGCTTGTAAGATATAACGCAAATTAATGGCAAGAGCGTCATTGACACATATCGACGGTATAGATACCTAAAGAAATCTTAATCCCTAAAATATGCTTTTTTTAAACATTATATATATATATATATATATATATATATATATATATATATATATAATATATATATATATATATATATATATATAGATAGATAGATAGATAGATAGATATATCACCAAGGCAGGGTGGCCTGAGAAACACAAATATTCATCATCATTCGCTCCATCACTGTCTTGCCAGAGGCGTACTTACACTACAGTTATAAAACTGCAACATTAATATCCCTTCTTCAGAATGCAGACACTGTACTTCCCATCTCCAGGAATCAAGTACGGCCTGCCAGTTTCCCGGAATCGCTTCGTACACTCCAACAGCACATAAAGTCCTAAAAACCATTTGTCTTCATTTGCTATTATCTAACACGCTCACGCAAGCTTGCTGGAAGTCTAAACCCCCTCGCACACAAAACTTCCTTTACCCCCTCCCTCCAACTTTTCCTAGTAAATTGCAAAATAAATAAAGGTTTACCACAAAATGCAAAAAAAACTCATAGATTTTTCATAATACACAACATTTTAGGTAAAAAAAAAATTCTTTATCTTCTGTTCCTATTTGTGTGCTATTTCCAGCAGGAGAGCGACCCGGCGAGACTATGTCATTCACCGGCACCCCTCGCACACAAAACCTCCTTTACCCCCTACCTCCAACTTTTCCTAGGCCGATCCCTACCCCGCCTTCCCTCCACTAAAGATTTATACACTCGAAGTAATTCTGTTTTGTTCCACCCTCTCTACATGTCCAAACCATCTCAACAACCCCTCCAAAACCCTCTGAATAATAGTTTTTGTAATACTGCACCTCCTCCTATTCTCCAAACTATGGATTCTCTGCATTATATTCACACCACACATTGCCCTCATACATTACATCTCCACTGCCTCCAGCCTTCTCCTTGTTGCAACATACATCACCCATGCCTCACTCCCATAGAAGAGCGTTGGTATAACTATATTCTCACGGTTCCCCGTGGCCTGGAGGTTAAGCTCTAGTTTCACACGGCGAGGGTAGGCGTTCGATTCCCAGCGCGGGTAGAACCATTGGGCGTGTTTCTATACACCGGTTGTCTATGTTCACCCATTCCTAAAATAGGCACCTTGGAGTTAGTCAACTGGTGTGGGTCGCATCCTGGGACAATTACTTAATTTGCCTGAAATGCTCTACATAACAAGGGGCTTCCTATATAGTAGTATGTCATTGATGTCAGCTAGGCCTATATACCTTGTACATGTACTTGTACTAAATAAAGATTCTATTATTATTATTTTTATTATTATTATTATTATTATTATTATTATTATTATTGTTATTATTATTATGCAATCCCCTCTTTGCCTTCACGGACAAAATTCTTTGTCTCTACAGACTCCTCAGTGTGCCACTCACCTTTTTCACCTTGTCAGTTCTCTCTCTCTCTCTCTCTCTCTCTCTCTCTCTCTCTCTCTTTCTATATATATATATATATATATATATATATATATATATATATATATATATATATATATATATATATATATATATATATATATATATATATGGTGCTGCTCCAGCACCAAACCCTAGTGCAGCACTGGCTCACAAACAGCCAAGCTGGGATGGCCCAATTGCTGAAAAGGTGCTTGCCAACATGCTCAGGGCTGCAACATCAGATAGGGAGATTGCCCGTCTCCAGGCTGTGAGTGCACATCACTCCGGGGACTTCCTCCAAACAGTTCCCATATCGGCAATGGGAACGCGACTCGACCCTAAGACCCTCCGTATTGCAGTGGCTCTGCGCCTTGCTGCCCCAATTCACACAGAATATATGTGTATTTGCGGCGAAGTGCAAGCAGACCAACACGGTCTACATGGTCTTAACTGTTCCAAAACCAAGGGCTGGCATGCAAGACGCAATGAGGTCAACGACATCATTAAGAGAACCCTTGCTACAGCTGGATGCCCTGCCGAGAGGGAGCCACGATCACTTGCAGCAAACAATACCCACAACCCAGCAAACCGCCCCGACGGGATCACCATCTATCCTTGGAAGAATGGCAAGCTCTTAGCATGGGACTATACCTGTGTGTCCACAATGGCTGACACCTATATCCATCACAGTGTGGGGCGACAGGGAGGAGCTGCTGACCACAGGGAGGAGTACAAGATCAACAAGTACAGGGACATTAGCCAACAGTATCAATTTGTCCCAGTGGGATCGGAGACCTTGGGATCATGGGGAAAAAATGCCACACGTTTCCTTAAAGAATTGGGTTCCAGACTCATCGACACCACCAGGGACCCAAGGGCAGCCACTTTCATGTTCCAGCTCCTCAGCGTCGCCATCCAGAGGGGAAATGCTTGCTGCATACTTGGCTCACGTCAAGCCTCGGAGGAGCTGGAGGAAATTCATGATCTTTGATACATTGTGCCATTGTATTCATGTTTATGTTTTTTTCTGTAAATGTATTTTGTTTATTAATAAATGTTCACATAGAATAAAAAATATATAGGGGGTGGTAGGAGATGAAAATATTCAAACAGCTCCGGGGAGAACCTTGAGTTTTCCCTGAGGTACGTTTATTGTCTTCTCTGAGGATGAGGGTCCCCATTCCAGCTATAGAGGTGGTACTTCTCTATATATACATATATATATTATATATATATTTTTTTTATTAACACACTGGCCGATTCCCACCAAGGCAGGGTGGCCCGAAAAAGAAAAACTTTCACCATCATTCACTCCATCACTGTCTGGCCAGAAGGGTGCTTTACACTACAGTTTTTAAATTGCAACATTAACACCCCTCCTTCAGTTAACAAGAACTTATTAGAAATTAAGCCCTTTCTAAAAAAATTGCATTATACTTGCAAAGAAATATTTTTTCATTTATGTTAATGTAAAAAATTATAATTTTGTACCAAAAGAACTTTAGGAAACTTACCTAATCTTATTATAACAAGCTCAATTTAATTTAGCCTACTCCAACTAAATATATTTTAGATAAGTTTACAATAATTTAATGATAAACTTACACAATGAAATATTTTTGTTTTCGTTAGGTTCAACATGATTTTTGCGAAATTACCGAATGCACAAATTTTCGCTTGCCTTATTCGGTAAGAAAAGCGTTGCTATATAAGCTAAAATCGAAAGTTTTAACTTTTCGGCACGGCTTTATTTTCGCCAAAAATCTTTTTGAACCTAATGAGAAAAAATGTATTTCATTGTGTATGTTTATTATTAAAATATTGTAAACTTGTCCAAAATACTTTTAGTTGGATTAGACTAAATTAAATTGCACTTGTTATAATAAGGTTTTCAAAGATTCTTTAGGTACAAAATTATTAATTTTTACATAAATATAAATGAAAAACTATACCTTAAACCGTATAAGAGAAAATTTTTGAAAGGACTTAATATTAAATGATTTCTTGCTAATTAACCACTTTTATCTATTAATCACGACATTTTTTTTTATTATCACACTGGCCGATTCCCACCAAGGCAGGGTGGCCCGAAAAAGAAAAACTTTCACCATCATTCACTCCATCACTGTCTTGCCAGAAGGGTGCTTTACACTACAGTTTTTAAACTGCAACATTAACACCCCTCCTTCAGAGTGCAGGCACTGTACTTCCCATCTCCAGGACTCAAGTCCGGCCTGCCGGTTTCCCTGAACCCTTTCATAAATGTTACTTTGCTCACACTCCAACAGCACGTCAAGTATTAAAAACCATTCGACTCCATTCACTCCTATCAAACACGCTCACGCACGCCTGCTGGAAGTCCAAGCCCCTCGCACACAAAACCTCCTTTACCCCCCTCCCTCCAACCTTTCCTAGGCCGACCCCTACCCCGCCTTCCTTCCACTACAGACTGATACACTCTTGAAGTCATTCTGTTTCGCTCCATTCTCTCTACATGTCCGAACCACCTCAACAACCCTTCCTCAGCCCTCTGAACAACAGTTTTGGTAATCCCGCACCTCGTCCTAACTTCCAAACTACGAATTCTCTGCATTATATTCACACCACACATTGCCCTCAGACATGACATCTCCACTGCCTCCAGCCTTCTCCTCGCTGCAACATTCATCACCCATGCTTCACACCCATATAAGAGTGTTGGTAAAACTATACTCTCATACATTCCCCTCTTTGCCTCCAAGGACAAAGTTCTTTGTCTCCACAGACTCCTAAGTGCACCACTCACCCTATTCCCCTCATCAATTCTATGATTCACCACATCCTTCATAGACCCATCCGCTGACACGTCCACTCCCAGATATCTGAATACATTCACTTCCTCCATACTCTCTCCCTCCAATCTGATATCCAATCTTTCATCACCTAATATTTTTGTTATTCTCATAACCTTACTCTTTCCTGTATTCACTTTTAATTTTCTTCTTTTGCACACCCTACCAAATTCATCCACCAATCTCTGCAACTTCTCTTCAGAATCTCCCAAGAGCACAGTGTCATCAGCAAAGAACAACTGTGACAACTCCCACTTTATGTGTGATTCTTTATCTTTTAACCCCCACGCCTCTTGTCAAGACCCTCGCATTTACTTCTCTTACAACCCCATCTATAAATATATTAAACAACCACGGTGACATCACACATCCTTGTCTAAGGCCTACATTTACTGGGAAATAATTTCCCTCTTTCCTACATACTCTAACTTGAGCCTCACTATCCTCGTAAAAACTCTTCACTGCTTTCAGTAACCTACCTCCTACACCATACACCTGCAACATCTGCCACATTGCCCCCCTATCCACCCTGTCATACGCCTTTTCCAAATCCATAAATGCCACAAAAGACCTCTTTAGCCTTATCTAAATACTGTTCACATGTATGTTTCACTGTAAACACCTGGTGTACACACTCCCTACCTTTCCTAAAGCCTCCTTGTTCATCTGCTATCCTATTCTCAGTCTTACTTTTAATTTTTTCAATAATAACTCTACTATACACTTTACCAGGTATTCGCAACAGACTTATCCCCCTATAATTTTTGCACTCTCTTTTGTCCCCTTTGCCTTTATACAAAGGAACTATGCATGCTCTCTGCCAATCCCTAGGTACCTTACCCTCTTCCATACATTTATTAAATAATTGCACCAACCACTCCAAAACTATATCCCCACCTGCTTTTAACATTTCTATCTTCATCCCATCAATCCCGGCTGCCTTACCCCCTTTCATTTTACCTACTGCCTCACGAACTTCCCCCACACTCACAACTGGCTCTTCCTCACTCCTACAAGATGTTATTCCTCCTTGCCCTACACAAAATCACAGCTTCCCTATCTTCATCAACATTTAACAATTCCTCAAAATATTCCCTTCATCTTCCCAATACCTCTAACTCTCCATTTAATAACTCTCCTCTCCTATTTTTAACTGACAAATCCATTTGTTCTCTAGGCTTCCTTAACTTGTTAATCTCACTCCAAAACTTTTTCTTATTTTCAAGAAAATTTGTTGATAACATCTCACCCACTCTCTCATTTGCTCTCTTTTTACATTGCTTCACCGCTCTCTTAACCTCTCTCTTTTTCTTCATATACTCTTCCCTCCTTGCATTACTTCTACTTTGTAAAATATATACAAATATGTTCTTATCTGGATGTGGGATCGAAACTCGGCCAGCCGCAGTTTGATAAATGATTCATTACCACTTATTTCGAAGTTTCATTACTCTATAGACTGATTGCGGAGGCTGGTATTCAAACGAGAGGAGGTTGAAATTAACCCTGAGCTTACCAATGCCACAAGTGTTCTCGGACCATGAGCAACACCTAGCTCTGCTGGGTGCATGGTTCTTGTAGGATCGGTGGTTGAGTGGGATCGAATCTCGGCTAGCCGCAATTTGGTAAATGATATATATATGTGTGTGTGTGTGTGTGTGTGTGTGTGTGTGTGTGTGTGTGTGTGTGTGTGTATGTGTATGTGTATGTGTATGTGCGTGTGCGTGTGTGTGTGTGTGTGTGTGTGTGTGTGCATGACATAATTTTGTCTATAGCAAACTTGGTAAATTTTTTAGTTAACTTGAAAATTATATCTATTTTTATGGAATTTTTTTATGTTCACTTGTGTTTCAGATTACTTTTAAGTAATTTTAAAGTACCTTTTTTATTTAATGCTAAACTGAACAATGTTATACATATTTTCAGGCTTGAGAATGGAACTGGAGGAAGAAGAGGACATTAAGCCTTTGGTGCCAGAGTTTCTGCAAGTGATCGATCTCTTGAACAATCTTCCCGAGGGGTCCAGGCCGTACGCTGCACCTCCGGAGGAGAAGGAAATACGAGTAATAGGATGTCGGAAGTCAAGTACTAAGAATGAACGAAGTACTAAGTTATTATGTTTCATCAAGAGGCGGTATCTACCTTCTACTGATGACCATACTTGCCATGATCTTCCCAGGTGTGTCGGTAATACCAGCTCCAGGGGTGGTGAGAACAGTGGTGGAGAGGTATCAACAATCTGCTGACACCGGCACCACCCAGGGTGAACCATATTTTGGTTTGGGTGCTGACACAGGCCAGGGTCTAATGACCAAATCTTGCTGAATGACACCTATATCAGCTAAAACAAGGAATATCGTTCTTGGAAATCTATTATTTGAAGCTCATGACCAGTTTATAATCTTGATGTGAAATTCCTCATCTGCAATTAGCAAGTTTTAAATCAAAAGAAATCGGAGTTATAACTCTTCACGGACACCCTAATCAAAAACACTATACGTCACTTGGACTTCTATACATGTCAAATATCATGTGAGACCTCTACCATCCTTTCTGACGAGGGGGAAGTAAAATACTCATTTAGGACGGTGATCAGTATGCTTTTCACATATTTAGAATTTTAAATATTCCTTGTGATGATGAACACTTGTTAACCCATTTGAGCAGTACAGTCGACTTAATGAGAAGTAACATATCGTTGGATATTTGTTGGAATTACGCCCACTGCAGCCAGTCTGAGGAAGAGCTGTAATATGTAAATAAGTGCCTTGAAGCAGCCTAGTGGTCATTCGGCATAGTCGTCGCTGTTCACATATAGAGAAAAGAGTAGTGGACCAGTGTCGGTCACCATACTTGTCAGTGCAAGGAAGCTAATGTGTTACCTAGTGAACACCAGTAATCATTCATTTACATCATCGATATTATAATAATCAGCAGACGCATTTTGTAGCACTGTTGGAAGTGCCTGGCCCTTTTCTCTCACCATACCTGCACGGTTCGTATTCCTCATTTTGCATATAGCTTTTCTCATCATCATCATAATCACCATTTTCTCTCTCTCATATACACACCCACAGTCACATACACATTTATAAACTCATAAACATACATTCACAAGCTCACACACACACACACACACACACACACACACACGCACACACACACACACACACACACACACACACACACACACACACACACACACACACACACACACACACACATACATATACACACATTCTCACACATACAAACCTTATTCATTTAATTTTTTATAGGGTTGAAATATGACTCAGGATATACTTTCACATCCATTTTATTATATAAACTGTTTGCTTCTATTAGCCAGAAAACCAGCAAGAAAGCTAAAAATATTTAGAACTGTACATTAAATGTTCTAATTATATATAAGAGGGTACATCAAATGGCTAACTCAAAAAAATAATCAAAATAAATTTTGAAAATACAGTTACAAGATTGATCGGAAACATTATCTTTAGCGTGTGAGGAAAAAGGGAAAAAAACTATCACATAGGAAAACTGACGAAAATTCTTTTGGTAGTTTTTTTGATGGCTGGACAAATGAACGAGTGTTAAACAGTTAGGTATGAGTTGGACCCGCCAATTACTGGCCAACAGACCTACTGCATCACATTTTTTTTTTCTTATTGGCTTATTTTTTCCTGTTGCTGACTGAAAAATACAGTGATAAGTGATATACCTTTTCTTATTCCTGCAGGTACATGTGGCGTAGTTTGTGCTGGGAAATATAGAGGATCCAGTCACCATTCAGAAGGATACCCAAGAAAGTTCTTGGTTATTTTGATGACTAAGTTAGCACTCCGTCTGATGCTACGGTCAGCCTTGGTAATTCAGAAGACCGTAGGATGCTAAACCCTTTCCTCGGTAATTCAAAGGACACAGTCACTGCCCAGTGGTGGTGGTGAGACAACCATTCACTATGAAACTTCTCTTATCGTCATCACTTCACCACATATACATCACCTCCTGGGAATGCAAGACCGGGGTGCAGGTATTGCAGGGTTTATGTTAGTTTTTTTAAGTAACAAAAAAATTACATATATTCCTTTAAATTGGACTAACTGCAGTTTAATAAATGTCCATTATTATGTAAATTAGATTCTTTTATAATACATAAAATTGGTGAGGAGTATATGTTATGTTGACAATTTCGTCTTTACCTCACATGGCTCCCTTTACACCTTACCTTACACGTCACCTCACTATAAACTTTTGAACAGTGGAAATATATCTTCCACGTTCAATGTGTAAGGTCACAAACAACCCATTGACAGCATGTGTGAGCTCTGCTATATAAACCGGTTTGTTTTCAACAATAGCTGTAATTTGATAATGTGAAAAATCACGAAAGCACTTGGAATAGTATTTTTTATTCAGGTTATATTAAATGCAGTCCTCTAATATACTTATTTACCAATGTCTTTTCCATTGCAGAATCTACCAACTTCACTACTCCAACAAACATTGTAACAAGTTAAATAAAAAAAATTTGAATATAGTTTTTTCGTTTAATGAGAAAATAAATATATATATATTTAATTTACTGTGTACAGTGCTCATGAATGAAGCAAAACCATAAGATAATTATGCATAATATTTTATTTAGGTATTTGCAGTACCTAATTCATAGTATATAACTGTATCATTATCACTGACGCCAAATTTTAAGATATTTTGCTTCGATAAACAACAGCCTGGTGCCATACATAATTTTTTTTTTATTCTATATAGCTTATATCAATCAGAATTGTGTATCTGCCCTAAAATGGTAGACTCTCATTTAAAGGCTTATTTTTCTAACATTAATTTCTTTTGAAATTAATGTTAGAATACATATAATTGTTGCACTCGACATCTACAACTTTCTTCCAGGACTTTGCCAGCAGCCAGGTGAGAGGTGGATAGTTGCTTCTCTCTGCTGCTTAGTGGATGAAGGATCAATCCTGCGACATTCCTTGAGCTGAATGACCCACACGGGTTTAACGCTACACGTGAATAAGAATAATGAAATTAATAAAAATAATTTCAATAGTAATAATAACAGGAATAATAATAATAATAATAATAATAATAATAATAATAATAATCCCAAGACTTGCTTCTTGTGTTTAGCATAAATGTCATTACAGAAGTTGTGGAAATATTATTTGATAGGCAAAGTATTATTTTTTTTACTTTATATTCTTATCCATAGACACAACATACACTTTCACTTCCACCGTTGGGTTTCCTACATGCATGAACCACGGCTTAAGTCATGCCTATTCCTCATTTTATTCATGTCAGCATACCATAACAAAACATGTGAAGCAAATACTCCAATTTTCCTTTAATGGCAAAATTTGCACATCCAGTACAAGTGAGAGAGTCAGCATTGAAGCAGTCACCATACTTGCTCCGAAGTACTGAAGCCTCTCAGACCAGCGTCCTCACACTTCACCTGCTCTGAAGATGTACACCGAAGAGTCTCTCAGTAAATTATCCTTACACTCAGTCTGTCTTTTGTCTTCAGGATAAGCTTTATCAGCTTATCCTGCTATTCGTAAGTTAGTTACTTACCCCCTCAAGGAAGGCTCCTTGACGCTGGTGAGGGGCTCTTGATCTAGGGAATTGGATCTGTGCTCCAGTTGGATCTGTGCTCCAGTTCCCTGAATTAAGCCTGAATGCCTTCCATCCCCCCATAGGCGCTGCATAATCCTACGGGTTTAGTGCTTCCCCCTTGATTATAATAATAATAATATTCGTAAGTTAGTTACTTAAATAAGTAGGATCGTCATCATACATATACAAATGTTGGTAAGAAACAGCATAAGCATAATTGTTATAACATGATTAGCATCCTAAGTGCAAAGTGTGATATTAACTTACTGTCTGCTGTTACGCTGACAATACGTACTCCAAAAATGCTAAATAGGATTTTGCAATAATATAACCTAGCAAATCTAACCAAAGCCTAATAAAGCACGTAGAAAAATTAGCAATAAGCGTTATGGGAAAAAATCAACTATCCCCTTATGATTTTGTTAGTAAGCATGATGCTTATAAGTAAGCAATCAATTATGTTAAGTTTTCATCAACGTATCTTGAAAATCCTACTTATACTAATATGTTAAATAATTATGTTCAGACTGTCTCGAATGTATGTTTGCTATTTAAATAACTTCTCTTAACTTTTCTGTCGTAACAAATTAATATATTTAAATTACTTAATTTTAAAGATTCACTTGCAACAAATAAGGTAATATAAATATTCATTAAAATCTATTAAAGCTAAAATTTATTCACAACGAGTGATATATAATACAAATGCGATCACATATTAAAGTAACTTTATATATGAAACTGTATAAATCTAAAGGTAATACTTATATTTCAATAATTCTTTAACAACTAGAAACATTCACTTAGGTGAATATATTTTGTTGTGAGAAAACCCGCAATAAAATATTAAATATGGAAATATGTAAAACACTTTAGTTACAAAATAAACTCAAATATCTCAACTTACACAGGTGTTTACACACTGAAGTTTATGAAAGAACTTAGATATTTACATTTATTTTTTTCACTGAGGAATATTTTTCGTAATATTTGGATGACATGATTTTAGAACATACGTACAATAAGATAAAATTAATATAATTGCAGAAAGTCAATAATGAATGATAGTGTTGTGCATGAATGGTGTATAATGTCGACAAGGTGAAAATTAGACACTGTGCAACATCTGGGTATATTTACTTTAAACGTTTCGCCATCCAGTGTCTTCATCAATACAAATTCAAGAACATGAAAACAGAAGAACTATATACTAAAGATGAGGCATTCAGTCCCTCAGCCTTGGAGTTTGTGTGAAGAGCACAGTAGTCGTGAAAAATCTGGAGTACAGGCAATGTGAGGGCGGCTGATAAAGCTGCACAGCAGCAGGCAGTGTCAGAAAGAGCCGAGAAAGCGACAATTACAGGGTTCAATGGAGCCACACCCCAGCTTCAGGCCGCTGGGGAACTCAGCTTCATGGTGATTGGTTGATGGGAGGCGATGCTAGTGGCCACTAGCGTTTTCGATGTTTTTGAATTTCGTCCTTGAGACGTGGATGATCCGAGTGATGCTCTCATAGTCGGTAATGTACTCATGGATGTCCTCAAACATGTTTTGAGTGTTGTGGTGTTGATCTGGGTCGCTGGTAAATTTCACTATTCCATCTTTGACTCGTTGGGAGCGTGACTGTGTTGGTCAGTAGTGTAGAACTTGACTTCAGGCGATGATTCGTACTTCTGGTTTAATATTCCCCTTAATCCTCCAGCGATTTTAACATCCTGTGTAGGTGTAAGGACTGGAGGTGGTTTTTTGGTAGCAGGAGTGGCGACAGGTGGTTCACCGGTGGCGGTGTTGGTAGCAGAGGAAGGAGATGGCGTGGTGTTGCTGGATGCTTCAGTTGGTGAAGTTTTGGCTTTCGTGCCTGTTGATTGGTCCGGTTGAGGTGAGGTCTGACTGGTCCATTTCCTTGATGGAGGAAGGCAGTGGAAGCATCTCATTGGTGGAATTTTGAGGCGGCTCGTCACATGTTGTCGAAGGTGGTGGTGGAGCTGCTTGAGAGTGAAAAGCAGATGTTAAGACATTGACACTAATTGTCTTGATTAAGTCTGAAGATGGTGGAGAATCCGGGAATATAAAATTAGGCATGTTGATCAGCCTGAAAAAACAAGTAATGGTGGTGTTGAAGGATCCAGGTATAGCTTTGTTGTGCATATGCGCATACATTATGCAGTAGTGGAATTTTATGGATTCATCGGCAGGTATTGGCGGTAATATATTGCTGGTGGAGAATGAAGTTTGAATGGCCTTGAGTGTTTTAGTGGTGTCTTCTTGCAGTTTAGTAATTGCTACATATGTTGGAGATTTTGCTGATTTTTCCTTTCCTCTTCTAGATGTATCTTGAGAACATCTCTTCTTGTTGGGCGTTTAGCAGCACAAGTGTGGTGTTCATTCTTGCAGTTTAGGCATTTAGGTGAAGTGGTGGTGGTGAAAGCCTTGGAATCATGATGTTCGTTGCCGCAGGTCGAGCAGAGCTTATTATCCTTGGTAGAACAATCGTTGGTGATGTGCATATAAGAGTAACAGCTGTAACACTGAGTGATATGCTGGAATCTCTCGGCTTCAATGTAACTTGGGTTGATATGTAAGTGGTGGATTGTCAGTCCCTCTGCGAAAGCTTGGGTTGCCATGTTGACATCGGTGAAGGTGTCCTTGAGCATTGAAGAAGCGTTAGGTATTTTGGTGATATGTTCCACTTTGGCCCAAGGAATCTTGGTCTTCTATAATGATGACTTAATTTCTTGAATAGCCTGTGTTGTGATGAGCTTATCCACTCGCTTAGGAAAAAGAGTTCTTTTGGCCCTCAAAGCTGGGTAAGTCATGACTTGAAATCCTCGTTGGTTAAAAGTGGTTGTAACGTCAGTGGTAACAAGTTTCTCGGCTTCGATGTCGTAAGAGCAGATTACAACGAAAGCCTCTTGGAACGATAGAATCACATTACATTTAAAATGCAATATGCCGCTAACGGCAGCTGCATGGGCTAGTTTGGATGAGTCACTGACTGTCCCACTAATCGGTTTGATCTTCACACGGTTTGAGAAATGCATCGTGGAAGATGATGTCGAATGCAGAAGTATTCTCCAGATTCTCACAACTGCAGTGCTCTTTACACCAACTCTAATGTCGTGGGACTGATTACCTCATCTTTTGTTCATAGTTCTTCTGTCTTCAAATTATGTGCTTGAATTTGTACCGATAAAGGCAATGGATGGCAAAACGTCTAAAATAAAGATACCCAGATGTTGAAGAAGTGCCTAATTTTCATCATAAATGAGTGTTCACCAGTACAGTTTATAGGGTGCTCATACATTTATAAAAAAAATAAATTACATATTACAAAATATAAACTAGGAATCATTTCACACGTATAAATTGTCATTAATAAATGAACACTTTTATGATTGAAAACAATTATCTATACACAAATATCCATGCATATTTATATACAAAATATTGAGACATGAAGACGGTCAAAAGGATTTACATACTTTTATTAAGATTATTTTAAATATTTTGCAAATTGCACCAGAGGTGTCTATAATAAAACTTCATATTATGACCTTATGCGGATCAAATATAAGAGACTTAAACGAGTCACTTGTAAAGTCAATTATGTATTTTAGTATTATTATGATTCCTTCGATTCGTGTTGCAAAACCTCTAGAAATAGTCAAAATTCTATATTAGAAATACAGTTTAACATATTGAAGATAAATAGTGCACAAGAGAAGGTATGAATGATATATTTGTGTAGTAGTTTCAGGAGGTTGAATAAGGATGTCTTGTGATGAATGGTTTTGAAAACCGACAAGTTGAAGAATTGAAACACTTATACAACACATGGGAATCTTTATTGAAGAAACGTTTCGCCAC